AATTTCTACCAGCATAAAAAGGTCCATTGTTTCCCAACTGCAAGAGCTTCTTCACGAAAAAACAATTTAGTGCATTTGTTCAAAACAGCAATTGACATGATGCCATCTGATACACACAAGATTGTTATTCACAAAACGCCTGCTGGAGAATATGTGCGAAGATTCAATGCTCCAACTATAGATGAAGTGGTAATTGTTATAGTCGGAGATCAATTCCAACCTAGAGATAAAGTTGCAGAAACTCATCGATGCTACGATGCCCTGCAATATCCAATCATTTTTTGGGATGGTGCCGATGGATATCACTTCAACGTTAAGATGATAAATCCAGTCAGTGGTGAAGAAACAAATATGATATGCAGCGCAATGAACTATTATTCATACCGATTAATGATTCGAGAGAATGAAGACAACACATATTGAAATGCCGTCCATTGTTTCACCAATACATCTTAGATATGTATGCAAAAATCGAAACAGAACGTTTGATATTGATCCGTTTGAATCAGACCAGGCTTCGCTCTGAAGAATACGTTCATTTTCGAGATGCAATTGTAAATGACGGTAATACAACTAACGTTGGAAGACTAACGATTTTGCCATATTCATATACAGGCAGTCCACGTCATATGCATAAGTACGCTCAAGATGCAATTGTGCATGTTCGTCACTACGGTCGTCCAGACCTATTCATTACATTCACATGCCATCCAGTTTGGGACGATATACAACAGTTCTTACTTCCTGGGCAATCGCTGGTGGATAGGCATGACATCACAGCACGTGTTTTCAGACAGAAGCTGAGATCGCTGATGGATTTCATGGTAAAACATGAAGTGTTTGGGTCTGTGGCCTGCTGGATGTACTCAGTGGAATGACAAAAGAGAGGATTGCCACACGCACATATAAAAATCTGGCTCTATAACAAAATCACTTCAAACGAAATCGACGATGTAATATGCGCTGAAATACCCAATGCCGACGTCGATAAGGATTTGCATGAAGTTGTGACGAAAAATATGATACATGGACCTTGGATACACTGAATCTAAATTCACCATGAGTGATAGACGGAAAATGCTCTAAGCGATATCCTCGAGCATTAGTATCCAACAGTTACAGGAAACGATGGATATCATTTATACAGAAAAAGATCAGCAGAAGATGGCAGTAAATTAGCAACCATACAAACGTGAAATGGTGACTTCGCATTAGATAGCCGGTGGGTTGTTCCATATTCGCCTTTGCTATCAAAAACATACAAAGTGCACATAAACGTGAAATACTGTAACTCCGTTAAATCGATCAAATGCATTTGTAAGTACGTGAATAAAGGCAGCGACATGGCAGTTTTTGGCATGCAACCAGAATGAAGTGATAGGAATGCGGTCATACATATCGATGAAATCGCACAGTATCAGGCTGGAAGATACATAAGCAGCAATGAAGCTGTATGGGGAATTCTTTCATTTCTCATACATGAACGAAGTCCAGCTGTTGTTCACTTAGCAGTACATCTAGAAAATGGACACCGTGTTAATTTCACAGCTGCAAATGTGCAACAAATAGCCCTGAATCCACCGGCTACAATGTTAACTGCTTTCTTCACGTTATGTCAAAATGACGCGTTTGCGAAAACACTGCTGTATTCGGAAGTGCCTACGTATTACACATGTAATGCTAA